TGAGGTATATTATGGTTTTTGGTGCTATTGTAAATGGAATACAGTATCCTTTCCTGATTAAAACCCTTCAGAGTATAGGGATAGAGGGAACATTCCTCAAGTTCATAAAATCCATCTATGAAAAACCCACAGTAAATATCATCCTCAGTGGGGAAAAGCTGAGAGCCTGTCCCTTAAGATCAGGAACACGTCAAGGATGCTCACTCTCGCCACTATTGTTCAACACAGTACTAGGAGTCCTAGCAACAGCAATCAGACAACAAAAAGAAATAAAATGTATTCAAACTGGCAAAGAAGAAGTCAAACTCTCTCTTTTCACATATGACATGCTACTTTATGTGGAAAACCCAAAAGACTCCACCCCCAAATTACTAGAACTCATACAGCAATTCAGTAATGTGGCAGGATACAAAATCAATGCACAGAAATCAGTTGCTTTCTTATATACTAACAGTACAACTGTAGAAAGAGAAATTAGAGAAACGATTCCATTTACAAAAGCTCTTTTATTTTTCTTAATGTAGACATTTATAGATATAAACTTCCCTCTTAGAGTTTCTTTTGCAACATCCCATAAGTTTTGATAGGCTGTGTTTCCATTTTCATTTGATTGAAGATTTTTAAATTTTCTTTTTGGTTTCTTCTTTCACCCACCAGCTGTTCATGAGTGTGTGGTTTAATTCCCACATACTTGTGAACATCTCGGATGTCTGCACCCTTAAATTCATTGCAGCATTATTTGCAATAATCAAGATATGGAAACAACTGAGTATCCATCGACAGATGAATTAATGATGATGGCATACTTATACAGTGGAACCCAGCAATAAAAAAGGAAGACATCCTTTCCTTTCATATAACATGGATGGCCCCTGAGGGCATTATGCTAAGTGAAATAATCAGACAGGGAAAGACCAGTACTGTATGATCTCACTTATATGTGAAATACAAAAATCTGAACTCATAGAAACAGAGAGTAGGTTGATGTTTTCCTATGGTTGGGGTTTGAGGAAATGAGAAGATGCTGGTGAAAGCCTACAAACCTTTAGTTATAAGATGAATGAGTTCTGGGAAGGTAATGTACAGCATGGTCATTATGGTTAACTTTATTGTGTTGTATACGTGAATGTTGCTGACAGAGTACATTGTAAATGTTCTTACAATAAAAAGAAATGATAACTTTGTGAACTGATGGATGTGTTCACTAATGTATTCTGGTGATCTTTCACAATGTACATGTATATGAAATCACCAAGTTGTAGGCTTAAACTTCCAGAATTTTACATGTCAGTTATTTTTCAATAAAAATGGAAAAAGGAAGGGTGGGGAGATGGGGTATTTGGGTGATGGGCATTAAGGAGGGCACGTGATGTGATGAGCACTGGGTGTTATATACAACTGATGTATTATTGAACTCTACATCTGAGACTAATGATGTACTATATGTTGGCTAATTGAATTTAAACTAAAAAAAACTGGAAAAATGAAGAAAAAATACTCCTATGTCTCTGTCTTCCTCCTTGCATTTCAAATGTCACTTCCTTCCAGCAGAACCCTCTCCATAAAAAAAGTGCTAGAATGAAAACCATTATGAATATGTCAATGGGAAGGTCAATCAATAGGAAAACAGTACGTACGTAAGGATGCCATGAAGATGGCATCAGTGAGGGGGTGAGGAAAGATGGCGGAGGAGTAGGGGACCCCATTTCAACTGGTCCCTGGAATTGAGCTGGATATCTACCAGACCACTCTGAGCACCCACGGAACCAGCCTGAGATATAAGAAGATCCGGATCTCTACAGAATATCGCGGGCGGTTGGTTTCCAGGTACGAAGTGGTGACCCGTGATTCTGCGGGCAGATATCGGAGGATAAATGGCAGCGGGAGGGAGCCTGGCCATGGGGAATCCTACACCACTGGTGAGCGACAGCCTCGCACGCTGGGGACAGCGCACAGACTCGCAGACCAGTAGCAGCGGGGAAAGGACTTTAGGGCAGCCCCTGGGGCGGAAACCTGGAGTGGTGGGTCATGCGTGGGAACTGGGAATGGTTGGCGGTTTTAGAAGCACAAAGGGCAGAGACGTGCCCCAACCTGGAGGCAGGACTGGGGGCACTGCGGAGGGGTACAGAACCCAGGCCGCTGCAGTTTATACCAGCACGGACAGAAACGGAGACAGCATGGCCTGGAGAGCTCACTGAAGAACAGACTGCGATCTCTACTCTGAAGCAGAGGGTTGGAAACGGTCTCTTCTGCTCTGACTCGCAGAAGAGACACGGAAAGCCATCAGGGAAAGCCTCCAGAGAAAAAAAGCCCCAAAAACTAATTCCCACTGAGCCCATCCCCCACCACAGGGAGACAGGGCAACTCCCCCAAAACAGGGTTGCCTGAGTAACAACGTGGCAGGCCCCTCCCCCAGAAGACAAGCTGGGAAAACAAGAGGCCAGCAACTCTAAGGTCCCTAGAAAACAGGTGCATCTTGTTTGGGTTCCAGTCAATAATTTGGACTCTATGCATTCCCTCAAACACCCATCAACAGAATGACTAGGAGGAGGAACCCCCAAAATAGAAAAGACTCAGAGATTATGACTTATGCCGCAGATTTACAAATGGATGCAGATATAACCAAGATGTCGGAGATGGAATTCAGGCTA